TAGTCGTTCAGCATATTGATTGAAAAAATATGAAGTAAGATTATGCTCAGAATCGAGCTAAGGATGATCTATCTATAAAACTATTGCATTTAAAACTCAGTTGTATCTTCAACTACTTAACAAGTTGTTGTACCAAACATTACATTTTGTGGATGAAAAATAAGTACTTAACCAATAGATCTTTGGCGTATTTAAAAGCTTTTCTTTTCCTCTGGAAATACTCAACTTTATATCATGCAAAATAAATTTCTCTGCTTACTAAATGAGTGAATAAAGTAAAATTTATTACAAGTGATGAACCTCAATGTGAGCCATGATAGTTATTCTTAATCTCTGTCTCCTATTTCTTGAATACATATTGTTTGTTTCATAAAATACAATCTAAAATTGGTTCACCTTGAAATAAACATAATTTCATTCATAGTTGAAAGGGCGAGTCAATTGAAGCTGGACCACCAGGGAAAACCTGGAAGCACTAGAAGGCTGTTTCGTCCTATTGAGGGACTCCTCAGTGCTTCTAGGTTTTCCCTGGTGGTCCAGCTTCAATTGACTCATCCCTTCAACTATGAAAATACTAAATCTCCACAAAAACCCCTTTTGATAACAATTTCATTCACATGTTCACAATACATGACATTAATTTCTTAACTGGAAGGTGAAATATTTAACTCATTCTACATTTGTTTTAACAGTGAATTTACATATTAGTAAATGTAAAAATCATCGGTCACGGATTGATAAGGAAATCATGCAACTGCACCTGTTGAATAGGTCCAAAGTGAGTGAATTAATTATTCATGTAAGTAAAGAAATATCTACAAAGTAACTTTGTTATGAACAGGTTTTACACATTCTTATGACATTATAGGCCTTCAGTCAAATTCCTGACATATACTAGTCTTTATGATGTAACTTATTCGATCCAAAGGTCTAAATCTTAACTTTATGTGCATTCGTGAGTTCGAATTGTTCCATGATTTAATGGTTAATGTCAAACGGGATTGGTGAAAACAATCTAGAAAATCATCCTAATTATGAATATTTGAAAGCAGCATTAAGTTTACAAGACGGAATAATTCCTGAATATTCCCTATAAAAATCTGATATTATATGTGAAAATTATATTTGAAATAATCGCAGTGATTTAAATATAAATAATCTCAACGTTTCGTTCAGCAAACTCCTCTAAACTTCTTCCTGGTAATAATCAAATCCGTATAAATCTGACATTACATATAAAAATCGTAAATATTACCGTTTTAAAAAAAAAAACTCTATGAAGATTAAGATACCTGTCGAAACCCATTTAAAACAACAAACAGAACATGTTGTATTTTACAAAGAGGAAACAGATAATACTGGAGAATTCTATTTTGAACAAGTACTTTAACCCCTCTTTGGCTAGTGTTGACACTTATATCTGGATGAATCACTTGAAAACGATTATTTGAAAAAAATTCTATTTACTAGTTTACATCGTATCTATAAGTAAAAAATATACACATGGCTTCTTATCATTAGAAAATTGTTAGCTAATCGAAATTTATCGCTACCAAATGCAAGTAATCGAAACACACGACTGATTAAACATACACATACTTGAAATAAAATACTATATACAAAACTTACACCACTAAAAAAATTGTGACTAGGTCATTAGTTATGACGGTTTTTATACCAGCAATAGGGAAATGTTAATCGAACTTGTTCAATCATTAAACAATAAATGTTCATAAAAATCGTAGTCTGTTATTCTTGCAACCCATAGGGAGCTAAGACTATTCATGAAGTTTATCCAATATTTCAAACAGATCATCCATAGTCAGGCAGCCACAACGTAGGACCAGGCATATTTAGGCATCGGTCCAAGTTGCCATACCTCGTTAGCGCAACAAGAGGAACACCGGATTCATAGTAGTTAATCTAGTGTTGGTAGTAGTATATAAATTATAGGTTGTATATAAGGATATAGTACAGGAAGGAAGAGAGATATGAAGCAATTTTAATCTCAAGGTTTAAGAGAAGATAAAGAGTGTATACACCTACGCCATTGTGATCGATTCTGAGCCATGTCACCTAGAGTCTCCAACCGTTGGCTACGATAGTCACGCGGACCCCAACCAGGTAGTCTGCATCCACCAACATGGCTCAGACTAGAAGTTAGTGACAGCAAGCACTGATGCCACGTTTTGGTTTGGCCGCCACTAACTCTTTTCCAACCATCCCCTACACTAGTCAGCATAGCGCGTCGTGGTAATCGGTGTTCAGGCATACGTAACACGTGGCCTAACCATCTCAGTCGATGAAGATTCATCACCTCATCAACTGATTTACCATCATTTCCTAATACCGTGTCGAACCTCACTATTATTTACTAACCCGGTGATCTCAGCAGATGCGAGCAATATTTCTAAGGCATCTGTGGTCAAATACTAGTAACCTACGAGTATCTTCTACTCTTAATGGCCAAGTTTCACAGCCGTAAAGTAGAACAGAGCGAACTGCTGCGCAGTATACTCGTCCCTTAATTGATAGACGGATATCTTTTCTTCGCCACAGGTGACGTAAGTTGACAATAGCTAAACGAGCCTTTTGAATCCGTTCTGAGATTTCGTCAGACACCAACCCATTATGACTGATCAGACTTCTAAGATAAGTGAAGTTATCGACGCGTTCGACTAATTCACTCCCTATCCTTAGTTCAAGTGTTGACGCAGGCCAGTCCTGGAGTAGAAGTTTACATTTAGATGGAGAGAAATGCATCCCAAATATCCTGGCATTGTTACTCAGTGCTATCCATCCATACATCTTAAGAGTTTAAATGAGAGGCTTTATATACAACATATTTTAGATTTAGTATTAAGAAAAGCGATAAATAACAAGTACATTTACAGGCTGCATGATTGGAAAATTGATCAAAATGAGTATTTAAGATATTTCAATAAAGAACCACTACAAAATCACAGCAAATAAGCTTCCCAAATTACAAGTCAGAATGCTTTGCTAGAAGTGATAAAGATATTTGTAAGGATGAAAATAGTCATAAAATATGGATCTGATATTTAGTTAAATAATGTAAGAGCACATTTCTAGTGAATTCTTTAAGAATATTTATCATTAAGAAAAGAATAACTATGATCAATGCTCATTAGTGATTTCCAGTCTAGGGTGTAATTGATATGATATTTAAGTTTGAAGAGTAAATAAATCTGGATCTATTAGGTTGACGTGTAACAGACTAAATGTTTACTTTATGGTACATTTGATGTCACCCACAATAAAGAAGCTGAGACGGTGAAATAAGAAAACTAAATTGTACTTGAAAATCTTTATTAAATAATAACTATTAAAGATTTAAGGTGAACATTGTTTTAAATAATAAGTTAGTTGTTGAAAATAAGCATCTGGGGGAAGCTAGAGAATAAATACATTTACCACACGAAGACCAGCATTGAGATATATCATATGGAGTCTACAACCACTAAATACGATGTTGAGTGTAGTCTTGGAAAATAATTCTATCTTTATGTTTTGAAACGTGAGTTAACACTCGGGCTACGTACAATTAGCATAATGTGTTTGAGATGATGATTGAACTGAATCCTTATTGATCGTGATAGGTAAACAAAATCAGAAAACAATGAGCTTAAAAAGTGAAACTTTTCCTCAGATGTAAGTCTCATAAATTACTGTGACAACTATTTAAAGTTCCTTGACCATGAACATTAGAGGTTTGAATAATGGACGATATGGTTTAATTAATATATAACAAACTGTGAATAAACTTAGGTAGACCAGAGTAACATCCTGTCCTTCGGTCATGTTGACAATAATTTTGTAAGTATTATTAAAATGTTATAAACTATACTATCTTTCCAAAAGCTACATTCATTAAGGTAATGCTGCATTTATCCAGTGTATTTCGATATCTGAACATAATGAATAGTATATACTCAACACATACATACTTTTAAGCAATTAGATCTAAATAACTATATTTACGGTGAACATTTACTATAAAATTTGTTTTGTACCTTCCAACTTTATTTATCTATACTTCACTGTTTTGTAGTCACTATACTTATTAATTTTCAGTAGTTGATTTCGTTTTCAATAATTTTAGAAGTCAAAATGTTAATTAACCACACATCATCGATAATACAACAGGCTTATTCACTAGGTACTTAGGTACGCACTACACCATAAAGGTGAGGAGTAATGATGCTGACTAGTTTCCCGAATCGAAATAGGTGGATTTGAGCTCAAACCTGGAACTTAGTGGTTGAATCTCGGACGTTTTAGATGCTGACCCTACATCCCAATGAACTACTGATCCCATATATTTTTATTAACACTAATTCGTCATCGTACTTGTAATGGTATTTATTCTGAGACTACTGCTTAGTGTCGATAGATAATATTAATTAATGAAGCTGTTCAAATTTTTAAAGCCGTGGCAGCCCAAATAAATCAGTGATAGCATCTCACTATGAAGCTAGGTGATGCAAATTCGAACACCCCAGGAAGTACCAGTTCCCACAACATTGCAGACATACTTTGTTAACGAGCATAGAATATTACGAAACATAGGTTCAGGGTTTCTTGTAGACCCCCTAGTCCAATCATCTAACATTATTCCCTTACTAATTTCTAGTGAGCGTTTAATACAATACTATGGTATTGTACGGGTTCTAGTGCGTATACCAAATTTCTTATCCACCTACTTCTAAAGAGGTAGATTTTATTTGGCTGCAGTTTGATAGTTTGACAGACGTTCGGATACATTACAATCCTAATTTTGTAAACCCTGACTAATCATGTTACTTTCATTAGTGGCTTTGTATTCCAGAAAAAGCCCGTCTATGGATTTTAACAATAACTCAATGATTGGATTAGAATCGGTAAAAGGATTCAAAAATTATAAAATACAATTATTCAAATAATTTATATGTATGGTAATTTGCTGAAAGTTATCACTTAATGCAGCCACAAAGTGCGATTCAACCGATCATCAGACGTTTTCGACCACGAAGTCGAACGTCCTCCAATTTGTTTAAAATTTCTTTGACTTCGTTTTCTTGTTTTTCCAAATGACCACCTGATTTTGTATTATCATGTTTAGACTTTATCTGTTGATCATCCAGTATTTTCGATACATAATTATCACAATAGGACTTTATAATTAAATTAAGAAGAGATTCTGGAGTATTTAAATCGGAGTGGGCAGCGGTAATTTTTGACAGGGCTTTGTGATCAAGACCACATGTTAAGGCCCGTTCGAATACATACAAATCCACAGCTTTGTCTTCTGCTAAACGCTGTGAGGTTAATCCAGAAGAAGAGCTTGAAAGTCCGAAATCTACAGGAACGATCCGAAAACTGGATTCTTCGTTACAATTATCTAACTGGAATTATGGAGAAATGTTGAATCAAGGAGGTTAGTATTAAAAACAGTAAGTGATTTAACATCTTCATCACTCTAGTGATGATATAGAGCAAGGAATGAATCAAATAAAAATGATTTTCCAAATTTTTGTACTACGACTCTATTATTTATTATTCTACTAACAGCGCTACACTTGGTAAGGATTTAGCTACTATTATATCAAAATCGAATTTCATAAATAAATCAGAATGTTGAAACTGAACTAGTGATATACCTTTTACCGATGTCATCAGTTTCTTCTTTTTCAAGTTCGTTCAAAAGTAAAAAGTGATTGTATGCATAGGACTATACCTCCGAAATGTTAAACATATGTATTTCAGTTGCGTTAACATGTTCGAAGCATGAAGATTAGACATAACTGGAATTTCGACACTCATAATTTCTGTATCCTTAGTTTTAGAGCAGTCGATCAAATATTATTCTGTGATAATCAACACTTATTATTCATTTTTATGTTTAAACACATTGTTATGCCTGCTCATCGCTAATTTTTACATAGAAATCGCCAAATACTTATATGTGTATGACAAAGAACCACTGCAATTCCATCGACGCGAAGTAAGAGCACTAAGACTGGTACAATTGAAGGTTTGTTAGCCACAAAACACAACGACCCTAGTCAAAAATACACTCATTTGTATGTTGATTGTACATCTTTTTCGATCATTGATTAGGATGAAATCACAAATAAACATTTGTACAAAGGGGCTTCGAAACAAATATGCACCAAACAAAGTAGTTATGATTAAATGTATATGTGGTCTAGGATACTGCCTCGGTGCCAAAACACAAACGAGTAGTTTTCTTAGGAAACCTTTGACACAGAGGTCTAATTCACAAGACAGTGGAGCAACGTTAGATGTAAACCAATAGTAACGGGTGACCCACAATAGGTTCATACCACATTTTTCCCTTCAGGGTCCTTAACCCCATGTGCACCATTGGTTCAGAATCAGGGTTTTCCAACTCCCCTAGGTTGGCCCTCCATATCCATCAATCTGGTTAAAGCGCCGGATATTCGCTTTTTATCCTCATTATTACGTAGGCAACGCCCCTGCCATGAGGAGGCAGTCAGTAGGACTTCCTGTGAGTGGCTATATATGCGTGGTCATATGAGAGTTTCGAGGAGAGCAAATTATCCTCACACTCGGTCATACTACAGCGTTTGGGGGCATCATCTGCACTATCGCTACCACGACAAAAGATGAAACGTTACGAACTGCAACCTACTTTCTGACAAACAAAGCACCCTTATCAATGAGATACAGAACTATGTTATGCGTATTGATAAGTAAAATATTACTAATTTGTTATCCTAAGTGATGAAGTTTCTGTCAAATACATTAGTAATTTATTCATAAAAAGCCTGATTTTGTCTTTTAACCTCCGCATGGATGTAATCGGTGTACAGAATTACACATGATCCAAAATATATACACTTGCTTTTTTAGTAATACAGTTACCCACGTGAATGACAAATCATAATTGAACTAAAAGAGCAATATTATAAAAGTTTGCACAAAACTACCTGTTGAACAAGAATATTAGACATAGTCAAGTCACCATGTATTATATGGTTAGAATGTAGCTGAGCTAGTAATCGACCTAATGCCGTTGTTACATTTCGCAACTGTGAAGCTGTTTTCTCCTGGATATCCATGGTAGATAAATCTGACTCGACTGCAAGAGAAGATAATTTTTTAAACCAATCTTGAAGTGTGACAGCATTTGGACCAACTTCACCGAGCCAAATCCGACGTCGTCGAACATCAACTAGAAGGACTGGAGGGACATCTATTCCCACTTCTCTACAACGCAACAGCTGCCTGACTTCAGCTCGCATTCGCTGCATCGACAAAGTAGCATCCAATGTACTATGACGATACCGTTTAACAAATCTTTCCTTTACAATACATGGAAATGTATATGTTGAATGGAACAACTTAGTGTGATAGATTCGTGCTTCTGCTCCTTGACTGATTAAAGTCTCAAGTGACAAGGTATTTGGAACTGAGTCAGATAGTAGATCCGGAAACAATTCTGGATTAGACATGTAATATTCTGCAAGGAAAATAGAAAAAGGATAAACTGTGCACAGTCGCATCTCGGGAAGCTTTCGTTTATTTGATTTCAATTTCTCCAATCTAATCGCAGCTTTCACCTGAAAATTTATCGATTCACGTATGTTTACACGTACTTTTTTGAATCGATGTCCTGATGTACTTGGTTTTAAAAATGACTGTTTACTTGCAAAGATAAATATCATGATGCACAGAAAAGAGGTAATTCTGAAGGTTAATAAATTTTCGTTTTTATACTTTAAGAGCTTTGTTTTCCTATGACTTACTTACTTACGCCTGTTACCCCTCGTCGAGGAGCATAAGGCGCTCACCAGCACTCTCCATCCAACTCTGTCCTGAGCCTTCCTTTCCAGTTTCTATTCATCCTTTTCGTATCTGCTTCTATTTCCCGGCGTAATGTGTTCTTTGGCCTTCCTCTTTTCCGCTTCCCTTCCGGATTCCAAGTTAGGGATTGCCTTGTAATGCACATTGGTGATTTCCTTAATGTATGTCCCATCCACTTCAAACGTCTTTTCCTAATTTCCTCTTCAGCTGGAAGCCGGTTTGTCCTCTTCCATAAAACGCTGTTGCTGATAGTATCCGGCCAATGGATGTTGAGTAGTTTGCGTAGACAACTGTTTATAAATACTTGTACCTTCCTGATGATGGACGTAGTAGTTCTCCACGTTTCAGCTCTATACAGTAGGACTGTCTTAACGTTCGTATTGAAGATTCTGACTTTGAAATTAGTTGACAGTTGCTTTGAGTTCCATATGTTCTTCAATTGTAGAGATGCTGCCCTTGCTTTGCCAATCCTAGCCTTTACATCTGCATCCGATCCTATGACAATGTTTATTATACTGGCAAAAACATGAAGGCACTTTTGGACTTAACTAAACGGGACTCTGCTGCAATGTATGAGAAAGGGCTTCATATGAGACGATAATCACTATACAACTATTTTACCAGTTATTCCTTCTGAAGTTAAATGACCATTAACATTGTGAAATACTGAATACACATGCTAAATTAGGTATTGAAAGACCCTTCTAAATGACATTTCCTAAAGTTAACCAGATCTAAGATACATAATAAAGTTGACTTTAATACGTGAATAGTTTCTGATTAGAACCATGTTTTTATATTTTAGCTTACATTAAGTTTGCCTAAACCCTATGGAGTAAGTAAAAGTAATGCAGTCACTACAGCAAGTAACATAATACACGAGGAACTGACACAAGAGACATAAGGCAAAGAGAAGACATTTGTCAGAACCATGTGATATATTAGTCTAATACACCTGAAACCAGTAAATATCTAATCAAACTGTCTGAAGTGTATTACACACATATATTACATAGTTCCGATAAACTTTGTCTTCTCATTGTATTGCCTAAATTTATCAAAGGAACTGTTTCAAGTATTAGAAAAGCCGAAAACTATCAAGATGTCACGTAAAACAGAAAGGTTTGAATTGACTGTTATTGTTTGCTTATTTTAAATCAACAGATAGCATACTGGCTACTCAATAGTACCTGCAAAATACTACGAAAAGAATTCTTAACGTTAGTAGTCATAATGTGATAAAAACTTTACATCTGTCGTAAATCAGTCCCACTGGAAAAGTTCATCACCAGTTTGCTGTGTTTAACACGACATTAGTATCCGTTATTCATCTCACATAATCAAATTAGTTAGCAAGGTAATTCTCACGTGATATATATATATATATATATATATATATATATCGTAGTTTCATTAAAGCTGAGATCACCCCAAAAACTAATTGATTAGTTAACAAATTAAAAGACATCAAAACTTAGTTTACAGAAAAAATATTCAACGGTATAATGGAATATTGTTAACTGAAGCAACATAGATCAATCCACATCGCAAAGAGAAATCCGTGATTAATGCGATTAATAACATATTTTTGATAGCAAGTATATATTTCATCTAATATAAAAACAATACAACTGTGAAAAATTAAATAAATAAAGCATGCAGAACGTAAACAATCATTGATAATATGAAATGTTTTGATTCAGACGATTAATATATTACGAAGAAAATGCTTGTGTTTAAAGACTTTACCAATCGAGAGCCTTCAGAAATTCATCTTCTGTTATTTGTAAGCACTTCGAGGCTTCGATTAGCATCTGGAAAAAAAGCACACAACAATAATATGGACAATATAAATATGAAAGGAAAAGAATCTAATTGGCTTCAATAACACTATAAAGATTCACTTGAACGGAAGATTTTCATGCACTAAACGATAGATATATAAACATTTTAGGCTATTAGAGTATACAATAAAAGTCTTGTTTATTGTATAAAAACCATCATGGATATGCAGTTTATTCAGGTAAGGTTATCAAACTACTAGCAAAATAAAATGAACAGATTATTGTATTACTTTTGATAACGAAGATAAATTATCACTAAATTTTAAACTCTAAATAATGGGAAAAATGAGAGGAAATTTGAGTAAATTATGTTAGATTTGAAAACATTGTTTTAGAGTACATTAAGTTTGTTAACAGTTAAGATTGAGCGTTAAACTCTGTAGGCTTGGGCACCCTGTGATGCAAATGTATTATAACCTTTTACATTTACCAATCACTTTAAATTTGCATAAAGCCGATAACAAGCCACTGCTGAGTGTGCTACTTTTTGGTTGCACGAATACACAGATGACAACTTAAAGTATTGATAAATAGAGGATGATATAGCACTGTGACATACCAAAATGCTAAGTACAGCATAAGAAACTATGTGGTAGGTAAAAAAAGAACCGACAGTGGTTTCAGCAGTAAAGGATAGGAGTAAGGGGATAATGACAGAAGAGAAAATTGGGCAAAAGTTTTAACATCTGGTTTTGTTTTTCGCACGTTCTAACTATGCTATGCGTTTTAGACAATTTATATACAACAACAGTTTTTTGTAGACTTGATTAGTAACGAAAGCACACTTTTTTGATATCCAGTTTGGTTCGCAGGGCTATCTTTATGGATAGCCTTGAAAATACTTAATTCCAAGAGTTCCATTCTGCCACAACTGCACATTAGTGACTGACTCAGCCTGAACACCGTCAACTTTATAGAGATATATTTTGAGATGTCACTCTTCTGATATATGTAGTTTGAGGAAATTAAAACATAACAAAACATGTTCACCAAGTAAATAATTATACTCTTACTTTTTGTCTACGCAATATATCGATCAACTTCATTTGCTTTTTAAATGTTGAAATTAATTCGGACTTCTGCTTTTCCAACCGCTTATTTTCAGCCATTAAATTATCCATATTATGACGCATAGATCCAACGCTCTCACGTGTAGATGAACGGACCTTGTCTAATTCAGCTTTATAACGATCAGATTCTTCAATTGCACGATTAAGACGTGTAGTCAAAGATTTGATCTCGAAAACTTGCTGATCAGAATTACGTTTCAGTGAATCATAATCCTGTTTAAGATACAGTTGGTTTTAGTATGATGAAATAGAAGTCCGATAGGTATATGAATGAGTACATAATAATTAAACAGAGGCATATAATTTTTAAGTAGTCGAGGATAAAACTTGAATAATACATTCGAAACATTAATAAAACCATTGAGAGTTGACACTTGTCACTAGGTTCATGTTAAATATTATATTTTTATTATTACTAATATCAGTACAAATAAGGGAATTTTGCGTGTTTAGATAGACATTGACTGATATATCGTTTACTTATCATTATTTTTAGTTTAGACTACCTAGTGTCCGAAATCTCATAGCTAGTCACACAAACACAAACCTACCAAACAGAAAGACTCAAGCGAAAGTTAGAAGAAAATTATAGACAACGGGGTACGACAGAACACTGGTTACAACTCCATGTATACATAAATCCAAAATGTCATCCCCATAAAAATCCATAAATGCACACCACGTACTCATGAGTAGCTAAATGTATCTGCATGAAAATTCAAAAAGACACAAAGTTAGGTAGGATTTCTTACAAAATGAATCAATTTCGAAACCACAGAAGACGCACCCTCATCTCGTTACGCTAGCCTACGTTATGTTTGTATGTTGTTCCGAAAGAATTTGTAATCACTGCTTCAGAGTATTTAATAATACAAGAATTATTTCACTAATTAAATAGGATGTACTTTTTTCTGAAAATACTTGGACCAATGAATAGACAAATAACTGAAAAAATGTTGGCCTGTAAATTTCAGGCATTATCATAACAAACCAACACATTTTATTCCAATCCAAATTAGTAGCTAAGTATCAGTTTTTGGAATTGATTTTGTGTAGGCGTCAGTGATACTTCACAGCTGCCTAAATTGAAAGTAGAACGAAGTTCAAACTACCCATACAGTGGTAAGAAGTTAAGTGTTTAGACGATAAAGCCGTCAATTGATATATCTACTCTAAATTTGCCTTTTATTGGGACTCTATACAAACGATATCATATAATGATGTAAAATGTATTTTAATTTATTAGTCTACATATGATAGTAAGAAACGAAAAGGAAGCATAGCACAACAACTTTGAAACATTAACTGAATAATAATTTACCTTTTTGTAATTAGTCTTTTCTGTTTCTAGTTCATTACAGTGAACGCGTGTTTCGCCCAAACTTTTTTTCATTTTTTCTAACTGAGATGAATGTGCAGATGTGACTCGATGTAACCGATTGCGTTCTTCTTCCAGTTCTTGCATACGACTTTTCATTCGAACAATTTCATCATTCTAAAATGAAGATAGACATTTACCCAAGAATAAAAGAAAAATTAACGTAGAACAAAAGATGGTAAAATTATAGAGACGAAACAAACAGAATCACGAAGGTGATTTATAAATTTTTGTGCCAAATTTAAATATCACGTATAACGAACAGCAGAAATATCTTTATATTGTGCTCAGAACGTTTAATATAATAAAAAATTAGTTTTTGCGATTATAGAGTAAAAATATTATTGTTAAACTTACCAAACTCCCAGTTCTTTCTCAGTAGACTGCAAATAACAAACAAATCGACACCATCCCTAAGCTCTAACCATTTTACCCTAAAACAAATATTTACCTACTGACATTATATTTTATGGACAAACTAACCAGAGAGCAGTTATTAGATTTTTGTGAGAAATTCATCCACATCCAAATGCCTAAAAATCAGTTCTGTTTTATGGTTGATGGAAGTCCGTGATGAAAACTTCTCGATCCTCACCATAAATATACAACCCTAACCAAGGAAAATGTGGGGCTCTTAGGAATCTATTTCAGTCCCTACAAGGGATCGAAGAGACGGAAGGACGACTTTATATGCTGTTTTTTTAATTACCAGGTAGAGTCAACTGTAGAAGACTTCTACATATTAACTTAATATGTACAATCTGTCTAGATTTTGTAGTATTATTTTTTTCGTTCTCATAAACTACGCGTTTACAAAAGCGGTTTTCCGATAGACTAAAGACCATAATTGTCCGAAATATTTGCTAAATATGCTCTAGTCATACCAAATAATGATTTTTCCAAAGACAGTAAGGTATAGGAAATGACACTGAATACACACAAAATGTAAAATAATCCGAGAAAATGCTATGAGATGCATGGTAATGAACAAACTAATATCAACAGTGATCACTAAAGTATCAAACAGATAGGTAGCGTAAATAATTATTAATCGCATTGCTTGTTTTATGCCACGTGTGCTAGCAGTGATATTTCTAACAGGATATAAAATTAGTCAGTCGATTATAACGAACGTAGAACTTGGCAAAGATATACATCGATACAAGTTGCCACAACAAATCAGAACAGCGAGAGGAATTTGAACAAGGAATAGAAATAATTTAAAAAATAGTACGACCGACAATAAAAAAGATTATACATAAAAAGTCTAGTTTGAAAAGAAAAATTGAGTTTGTGGAGTATAAAGTATGAAATAATGTTGTAAATCGAAATGCAAGGGAAGATAAAGAATGGATGCATGTGTTGCACTGGAACCAATATTAGACGTATCAACTAAGACCTACAATCACCGAGAACGAAATAAAACATAGGTTAATAACAGCTACGTCTATCCTTCATGTTTCAATATTTGGGCTTACATTAGAGGTAACGGTGCTTACAAATAGATGTATTATACTGCAATTATCAAGATCTGTTTAGGATAATCGGGTTTCGTCAACCACCAACTTATCAGAGCCAATGATGCTTTTAAAATAAGTGAGGTAATCAACGCATCCAACTACTTTATCGAGTATGATTATTCTCGGACGGTTGATGAAGCTTTAGGAGAATGGTTGATCGTAGGGATAGTAAGTGAAAAAGAAAGCTGATTGAGATGAGTTCGAGTGCTGTTACAGGTATGACAGTTGGACTGAACGATCTAGGTAGATGCAGACTACCTAGTTAGAGTCGGCGCAACTATCGTAACTGGTGCTTGGGGACGTTGGATGACATGAGTCAGAATTGTTCGTAATGAAGCATTCACTCTTAGTCTTCTTCAGATACTGAGTCCCAAAATGTCATACTCTTTTACTCCTTACTATACTTAATCTTTTCTACTAATAATGATACTGTTAATACTTCTATCTTGGGATTTGTCTCTCTGTGCTAACCTAATGTGACAACTTGAACAGATGCACATATAAATTATATTGTACAGTGCATATGAGTGACTGATCAGAGATGAGAGGGAAGTTGTCACTTTCCAGTTGACAACATCGTGGAAAGATACTTTCTTCTGAACAATTTACAAGACGAAATATCTTACAATTCAAAATTACGGCTGGAAACGACTCATTCCCTGTCCCATTACATTTAATCAGAAAAAAGAAGCCGAAAACAAACATTGAATGCTATGAGGTACAAAAACAAATCAATGATAAAGGTGCAGATTATATGAGTAATTAAAGGATACTGGGATATTGGGGATCATCTGCTGATGATAACACCCAAAACAGTATTTCCACATTTTGTTTAAAAATTGACGTTTGATGGTAGGATTTGGACTATCCCGTTATTGACATTTTAACTGAACTTTGATCAGCTTTAGTTGGCATACGTGCATCCTGTGCGAACTGCTTAGATAAAGTCATTATTGGACAAGTTTATATAAATGGACTGTAGCTAGCAGTTCAACTCAGGACGCGTGTTTCGCTCTACAAGGGACTCGGCCTTTGGATTTACCAGGATCCCAGAGTCGAGGCTTTTTTCGGGACTCAAACCCAGTACAGTTCGCGTTAAACACCATCACGTTATCAATAACGGGGTAATCCAAAGCTATATAAAGTCGAATTAAGACTCATACCTGCTGCACAAGTTAGTGGCTATCAGGACTCGGTAGCCAAGTGGATAACGCGATTAAGTTTTAAGCGAAAGGTGCTTTGTTTGAATCTTGGAGTGGAAATCAACTCTGGGATGTAGACAAATCCAGCCGGCCAGCTCCTAAAGGGACCAAAACGCGTCTCAGATTCCACTGTTAGCTATAGTCCATCTACATAAAAATGTTGGCAAAAGTTATTTTAAATTGAGTGGCTTTCGTAGGAAGGATAATATTTCGAAATGGCCCTCTAGAAAGATGCACTGAGAAAAGCCACGATTTTATACCATAAATCTAGATGATAGAAAAGTAAATACCATAACTGCATTTAAAATAGAATAAACTAGTAGGTACTGCAAAAAGCCTCTTACAAAGAAGACAGAAAATTCCTACTACTTAGTTATGAAATAACAATACCTTAATCCTACGTTTGTTATCGAGGGCAGATAGTATGCACGGTATATAAAACTTTAAATAACAGCACAGACGTGTCACCATATAGATTTCAGTTGTTTCTTAATGTACCGTACTTGTTACTATAACAAGAACTTATATTCGCCTTGTCTTACAAAATGAGTTGCTTTCTAATCGCTTAAAATATTTAGAAATATCATACAAATATACAAATTACTTAAGTTTACATTAAACACTCTTCTAGCTATTTAGGCTAATGATACCTGTAAAAATATAAATAGTTTAAAAATAAGGATTAAACAAACTTGATGAGTAATCTGTGAATTGAGCTTTTGATTTTCTTCTAATAGTACGCGAACTTTTGCTTTCAGGTACCGATTTTGAGCTTTCAGACCTAGACCTTCGGCAGGTTCTGGAAGAACATTGCGGTCGTTTATTTCATCTTTGTCTGAATAAGGCTGAAGTTTAGATGGCAAGACAAAAGAAAACGTTACAGGGAACCAAAGAATCTCACCAATCGGCTGTATAATACCATATCTAACGACTTGATCTATCGAAAAATGTTATTTTGATACAAGAATGTGAACTTAATCTCTATTTTACGAACTATTAAATTGAGTTGGGATGAGAAGTAGGATAAAAGATTAGGTTAAGTGAACAGGTGGACTCCTGGTAAAAGATTAACTTGAAAACCCTCATATCATAGCAAAAGTAAGAATAGTGTGAGATACATCTCAAATAAGGAGAGTTGATACAGGTTTTGCTTTTGCACAATTCATTTAACCGTTCAAGAACGAAATTGAAGTGACTAGCCACTGATTTCTACACTGATCTGCTTGATGACACTTAAACCAATGAATTGAATAACCTTATAGAGACTAAGTGAAGGATACTTGTATTGGGTTATTATTCTTAATTCACGGATGAGTATCTACATTAAAAAACTACTTCTGTTTTTTCTACTCTTTTAGAGTTAGCAAATAGTGTTAGACATGGGTAATACATAACTGAGCCACTGAAGCGTTGTCAGTGTAAAAGACTGTACGGACTAGTTCTATGTTAAGCCCTCATAGGTTATTTTAGCCTCTGGACAGACCAATCTATTCAGTCTTCTCAAACCACATTTTTACCCTATCACTTATTCGCTTATTAACCCCGACTATCTTTTATATGGACGTCTGTGTGCTAACCACTTGCCCTAATCATTATTTGTCTGCAACTTATTTTTGTTTGAATATAAAAATTGAGTAACGCTTGATAAAAAGGAGTTGGCTCACTAGCCTTCTACACTGAGCGTCCTTTTGTTTCGCTTAGCTTTCTCCGCTTCCTTTACTCCGTCTATCTGGACCAACGACTTTATGAAATACACGTATTCAAAATCCATTCTCATTCTCCTATTCACTAACGTTATTTAGACCGATAATCATACACAAGGATAGCTGAAATGTATATTTCGATAACGATCATTCGTCAGATTTCGAGTCACTGAAAACCATCAATCCACATGACGTCTCTTTCCATTCTTAAAGTTAGTGTATGCCTTAAGTCAACGACTGTCTGAACAGTATTACCTATCTACCTAGGTACTAAGACTACTAGGCAAATTTACTACGTCCAAATGCCCAGCTTTACAGAGAAGCCAGAAACGTTTTCACTTCAATAGAAAAACAGGTAAGGATAACGATATCTTTGTCCTTCAGAGTCCTTACGGTGTCATCCAATGGAATGGGATTAAGATGACTAAAACTGGAATTCCGTCGATGTGTCATTCCATTTTCATTATTAATGTTATACCTACAGCAGTAAGATTGAGAGAATTCGCTACAGCGCTTTTAGATACCCATAGAGCAAAATTTGTAGGTTCTTCACGATAGCTAGGCGAGATCGAGTGAATATCCATGATTGTGTTGTATAGGTTTTAAAAGGATAACACATAGATGGAACGAGATTCTAAATTCCTACTAGTGAAACTTGTCCTATTAAAAGGTTAGAAATTCAGATATGTAGCCAAGACTGCAGTTTTATAGAACTAAGACAAATATTTTGAAAGCTTAGATTGTTTGCATTAGCTGGGCATGGGAAAGAGAACATTAGATGATTGATAACAAAAGAAAGATAAATTTTAGGATGAAGGTAAAGGAATGATGGGGAGCGAGATGTGTACTAGTACTATTGGAAGTGTGTGGCCAGTTAACATATGTTTGGTCGCCAATGCCACGAAAGAAAGTTTTCTATATGAACTAGAATATAAGCCAAATTAGAAGCGGCGGTTTTTTGACCCTATAGTGTAACTGTAAAGCTGAAGGCATAGCTGTCTAAGACAAACAACGTATAGAATGTTTTAAATCTTAGTATGAGAACTAGAAACCTTCAGGTCAACGAAAGAATGAAATTTTTACGGGAGACCTTTTGTCTCTGTTATGATTTGTAAAAAGGCAGCATCGCTGTAGATGATGGTTGTTTACGGATATCACCTTATTACTCCCAAAGCCTTACAATATTTGAGTACCCAAAAACTGAAGACTAGAAGATTTCAGCCATTCAGAGTCAGCAAGAGAGATGGAAAAATACCGAGCTATCTAACCATTAGTTTAGGTGAGAACCGCGCACGTAACAGAACTGTGAACACTTGATTAAGTGTTTAAAAGTGCAACTGTTAAAAATATCCTTACACTAGGTAACATTTGTGCACATAAAATAGCCATGAACGTTTTTGCAAGAAATTAAAAGTGCTAATGTTTAATCAACACACAGTTCTGAGCTTTAATGATGCAAAAACGAAATACCCATATATTAATGATAAGAAAACCGGAGTAAAAAAACAATCTCAAACCAGGTTGTTTTATCGCTCAAGCTGACGGAGCTCAGAATACCACCTTAATAAGTTTATCTGTTTGAACACATAAACATTAGTACAGGGGAGCATCAAATACATACGCGCCACACAATAACAATGAGGCCAGTAGTATGTACCACTGATTTGTGTGAGTGCTGTGATACTGCCCGAGCGCCCAAACCGAGGCATGTAATAATATTTTATTTTATTTATTTAAGCACATATATATTGGTACAAGGAAGCACCAGATACATATGCGCCTCACAAATCTCATTCGATTTGTGTGAGGGCTGCGATACTACCCAGGTGCCCAAACTGAAGCAGGTGGTTTTCTTAAGGGGCCACACCCGGAGCCTTTGACCTGAATGTCTGATCCACAAGGCAGTGGAGCATCGTGAGGAGATGCAGTCCCATGGTAGCCGGTGATCAACGGTTGATTCGTACGCCATTTGTTCCCTCAGGATCCTGGAGCCCATGTGCACCATTGGTTTGGAATCAGAGTTTTCCAACTCCCCTAGGTGGACTTACCTTGTCCACCAACCCGGTTAAAGCGCCGGACATTCGCTTTTCGTCCTCTCAATTTCGTAAAAAACACCCCCGCCACGAGAAGTCAGTGAGTAGGACTTCCCTGGCAGAGGCTATATATTCATTGGCCATTTCGAGAGGGAGAGCGGACTCTCCCCACTCTCGATCGTACCAGGGCATTTGGGGCCATGTAATAATAAGTAAATAGCAACTTAGAAGACGAAACTATGATTTATGGATGACATTTGGGCGACTTTTAGAAGACTCATCTATCTACTAGTGTCAAAAGAGAGTTGAAAATTAGTATGACGAGTTAGGATTAGGATCTCGGATTAGAATTTAGAATCGGGAATTAAAGTAGGGGTTTTTACCGCGAAACGACATCAGCTATATCGCCAAAATGGCATATAACTACATAAATGAATTTCACTCCAAAATCGAAGACTTGCCACCCCTAATTCCATTGGTTCGTCCGAGTCAGTCAGTCAGCTACAACGTAGGATCAGACACATATATGCATCAGTCCAAGTTGCCAAAAATTTCGAAAGTAATACTTTGTTATTCACTACTCAGACTAATACACAACTTGAAACGAACCTCATGGTTGTGTTTATGTTCGTCAACAGGAGAACTTATTCCGTTGTCAACTTCACAATTATGCTCAGGATTTCTCTCCAGAAAGTCGCTCTTTTCTGTCATAGGACTTGTGCAGGGTTATAATTTATATAAGTACCTGTAACATTTTGGACTTTGATTTGGCTGGATATATGAGCATTCATCAATACTCTGGGCTTCCTGAGCCTAATATGTTATTAATAAAGGACGGTAACAAATGAACTACAAGTATTTTTCCTGCGCTTCTCAGAAGGTCATTTGTTTTGGCCTCAAGCAAAGAGTTTATATGTCTTGGAAGTAAAATGGCAGTAACTTGTACCTGTACTTATATTCTTTATCGAGACATCCATTCACAGGAATTGCCAACGCCTCACGAGCCAAGGAGTTCATGAACAGCGGGGTCGCGAAGGTCAACACAATACATATATGTATTGCCATATTTAAAAAAAATACGAGATTTTCTTTTTGAGCTCAAAACCAATTAAAAAGCCAAAATAGGTCATTTTACCTTTCCCAGCATGGAATTAAGGCTCAACGTACTCCACTTTTGGAAAACAAGTTGACTATTCCGAAATACACTGGGCCTGTGGTGTCCAGTACAAATCAACACTCACATGATTCATCCTAGCTTTTGTACAATTCATAATCATCTAGACAGAACGTAACATCGAGTCATTTTTACCTCCATAATGACTCCATTCTTTTCACGCGAAATAGTGATCTTCTGTGTACATACATTTGTAAAGAAATAACACCACTTATAGTAAAGTTACTTTCCTCCTTGTTCAGAATTTCGGGGGAATCGGATGAGTTTATCGATGGCGGGATATTTACAACATCAGAGATTTGTTCAGAATCGACACTGAGTTTGTGATTTTCAGGATTCAGATGTGTAGTGACCGGCCAGTCTCGATAAGAACACGATTGGAATAACGGAAACAATTATTATTATTAATAAATTATATATTTGTAATATCCCAATGAGTAGAAAAATTAGATTTTCTAACAAAAAATATCGGGAACGAATCAAAAACCTAGATGATCTACTGAAGGTTTTGATTCCTATAGATTTACAAACCGCGATTTTTAACCTATTCATAGAAAGAGAACGCCACTATTTAGATTCATCAAAACGCTGACAAATTAAAAAAAATTTGAAAAGATCAAAGAAAGGAAGAAAGATAAGAAAACGTCAGCAATAAAATCTGATCCGAATAATCTAAGAATCGTTCATAATTTGTCTGACAAAAACTTAACGAATCATGAAATCATCCTACTGGAGAAAGGATTAAATTTCAATTTACATAGAAAACCACTTAGCACCCTTGAAGTTGCTCCAATTTTAGAGCCAATAATCGCAACACTACCAGAAAAAGAATCGCATTTATTACGTCAAAAGACTTCCCATATCTTGACTAAACAACAACACCTTACACCAAACATCTCAAAAGAAGAATACAAGGCCCTACATTCGCTTAAAAAGGACAAAACGATCATAATCACGAAAGCAGACAAAGGTAACACAACAGTAGTCATGAATAGAATAGATTATGTTAATAAAGCTCTTGAACATCTTGCAACAGGACCTTATGAAAAGATCAATCAATCAGATTCGCAAACGATGAAAAATAAAGTCAAATCAGATACAAGTGAACTTTTGAAAGAGCTAAAACCAGTCATTGGGGCTTCGCTTTGGTTTACTTTGTATCCCAAATCATGTAATACTTCACGGTTTTATGGTTTACCGAAAATTCACAAACCAGATATTCCTCTAAGACCGATAGTAGATTTTACCAACACACCGACATATGCTTTATCTAAATATCTAAGCAACATATTAAAACCACTACAGCTTAACGTACATAATATGATTAAAGATACATATAACTTTAAATCAAAATTATCGGATTTAATTATTGAAAAGAATGAAGTCATGGTAAGCTTTGATGTTGTTTCTTTATATACTAGTATTCCGATTGATATATGCTTAGAATTCATTAGTGGCTTACTAGAGAATGACATTACTCTATCGGACAGATGTCCTTTAAGCATCAGTTTAATCATGAGATCGTTAAAACTCTGCTTAAATTCAACTCTATTCACCTTCAACGGAACGTTATATAGACAAACAAATGGTGTAGCAATGGGTTCTCCCGTGTCCCCGATTGTGGCCAATCTTTTTATGACACACATAGAATCAAAGATTTTCTCCAACGAAATTAAACTACGAATTTGGCTCAGATATGTAGATGACACATTTGTAGTAATAAAAAAGACGCATCTGAAATCGTTTTCAAAACTGTTAAATACACTTTCATCTCACATCAAATTCACGAATGAGAATGAAAATGAACATGGAGAGCTACCGTTCTTAGATTTCTTAGTGAAAAGAAATATAAATGGAGTTCTAAATTTATTCATCTACCGAAAGCCCACACACTCCAATCGTTACATCGACTTCCATTCAGCACATCCTTTCAGTGCTAAAATTTCGTTAGCCTTAAATCTTGTTAGAAGAGCCAACAAGATCATCTCTTCAGAAGAGGACAAACAAAAAGAACAAAAGAATATAATTAGCATCTTACAATTTAATAATTTTCCTATGAAGATTATTAGAAGTATATTAAAACAAGACAATTCAGTACACAATAATAATAATTCGAATGAAATGCCATGGATTGGTACTGCAGTCTTACCATACCGTCATGGCACAACTGAAGAACTTCAACGGATATTAAGACAACACAGAATTAAAGTATATTGCAAAACAACTAACACACTTCGAAATACTTTAGTTCGATTAAAAGAAAAAATACCATTAATGTCTACACAGAACTGCGTTTACAAATTAGGTTGTGTCGATTGTGATGCCTTCTATATTGGAGAGTCATCTCGCGAAATCTTAACTCGCGCTAAAGAACATATCAGGTACACAAAGAAACCTCCTAATAATCCTGTAGAATTAGATAGACTTCAGATTAAATCGGCAATAGCAGTTCACGCCATTTTCAACAGTCATCAAATTGATTTCAAAAATATCAAAATACTACAGAAATTTTTTCTAACTACAAAGAAAGAAGAGTAGCTGAAGCTTTCCATATAATGCTTAATCCCACAGCTCTCAATAGAAAGGAAGGCCTTACCATACAGCCTACTTGGACCATCTATCCTAGTCACTCAGTCTGATATTATTTACAATTTCACACCATTACATTACAAACCAAACTCTATCCTTTGTAACTATAAAGGTCACACAGTTTTCATTATTAACAGTGCATACATACACACAAAATTACATCCATGTCGCTTATGAATCACCTTGACCGAAATGAAATGACGTGACAGTGATTTACTCAGACCTGTTTTTGATTGATTACCTAATATTCTTTGATTGTTCCGTTGTACTATTTAAACTTGGATTAATATTAATTTGGTTATTTATTCTATGAAGAAGTGGCTTACACTGAGTCACGAAACGTCAGAAAATCTAATTTTTCTACTCATTGGGATATTACAAATATATAATTTATTTATAACAATCTACCCAATGCTCAATTTATTCAAAATTATCAAATCAAGTCTTGGTAATGATACCTATAATTATTATTATTGTAACCAATTGTACTAGAGATTGTTTTACTGTATTTGTTTAACTGTATCAGTTTCACTTCTTGTTTCGCTCTCCGCCTTGTTTGGTTTGAACTTGCTCACGCACTGCCTGTTCGCCTGTACTCTTTGGCACGTCTCGGTATTATTTCGATACCACGAGATCGCCAATAAATACAATTGATCTGGATTAATAAAGTCTTCTGATTTACGAGCTATCAAAGGAACCAAACCGTTTTTGGGCGCGTAAACGAATTGTAGTGGTGATCATAGTCCGTCTTCGACTCGACATCCACTACAGATGCGTTCGGTACCTTGACACAAGTGGTCTGTAAATAAGATAAGATTGACGATGGTTAACAGTGTGATCTAAGACGGGCGCTTTTGAGAGTCTTCGTCTGAACAAACTTGTTCAGTATTTCTATCACTTTAATTATGGTAATAGCAGCAATGAAGTTTAAAAGAAGCTTTGAGGACAGTCAATAACGGAATTTGGGACTTTCGGAAAGCTAGTAAGCTATGATCTTCAATTCATACCTAGCTGTGGGTTTTGTCAAGAAGCATTTAGGAGTCCAAACCCACAAGAATGTAGAAAACAGAGAATTCTGCGTTATTTCGTACGTTTTCATACACTAGTATGGTAACTCATTTGAAACGTCATGCTATCAAACTTAAGACTCTGCCATATGGTTGCCTTAGTTCCGCATTTCCATTTGCGATTGCTGTAAATTACCTTTACCATTGACTGTAAGCGCATTCTATGTGCTTACACAGCCGTCGGCTGTTATTCACTCGCCGTTTCTTCTTTTCGACCCTCTCATACGCTACTCTTCACACTTTTCTGGCAAATAGGACACCCTCAGGCTGAAGGAAGATATACCAAAGACTGAAGACCACGGTAAATCTAGTTGTCAACCAAGTATTATGTATACCACGACACGCATACCTTACAACTGTTAGTCAATTTGGATTAAACACTTTCCGACATATCGATAGCTTTTCGAATATATCTTCGAACCTCATCGTCTTCCGACTTCTAAATTGACTAGGTTGGCATACTTCGATCATAAAGGTGCTACATATTAAGGCGTTGTCGAAATCCAAATAATTGTGACATCTTTATACAGTATTCAATATCTTCATCCAATATCTTCAATATCTTCTTCAAGCATGTATAAACCGACTGATTTCTTTGCGCTCGCTTCTTGTTGTTTCTGTGCGGTTACAAGTATTTCTCAATGTCTAATAATTCTTTCGAGATCAATAATCAGTTCGTGAATTCATTTATTTATATGGGTCATTGATACTCCAATTAAATCCGTTCTCTGCAGAATTGTGCTCAAGTGGGTGGTGTGTTGTATCATGTGCCTCGAAATGAACTCATCTATTCGCGTGTTTACCAGTCCATAACAATTAAATGCCTCTTTAATCTGTCTAGATATTTTTGACCTGATACGAAAGTGTGTCACCTGATATTAACATAGTTAGGTCTGTTGTACATGTGTCATCTTGGCCTGTCTGCGTTTGGCTATGCTTATTTTACTTACTGTCCGACCTCTTACTTACCAGTATGTTATACATTGTCTGTGTCCATATACAAGGTGATTCATGCTCAATTATTGCGGGTACACTATTACTGGCTTCTAATTATGTCTCTTATCGTTTGTCTCCTGTCCACATACACACTTCCGTCAATTCCTCAAATTTGTCTTGTTATCTATAATTCATATAAAGGGAATCAGTCAAGGAACACTTATGAAGAAAATTGAACCTGCATTTTATTCTTCTACATCAGTGGGGTGTACATAGG